ATAAAAGAGACAATGTCCAAACTAACAGACAGAACACCCCGCGTGTTAATGATGGCAGAAACACTCAGGCTAATGGTAACAATGGTTTAAACAACAGCGTTTTTGCCATAAACCAAGGACAGAACATTAGGCCTCAAGTAATTCCACCAGTGAACCAACCTGTAGGAGTTCCATATGATCCCAACGGTATGTTGTGGGTTTAAATTATGGAAATAGTGCAGGATCAAATGGCTTTTGGGGTACATCCTGTTATTAGGCCGACTTACACAAAGTCATATCCTGATTGGGTAGATCAGGCATATCTGTGACCTAGGGAATACAAAGTACCATAATTTTCATTATTCACTGGTCTGGGTACTCTGAAACATATAGGGCGATCCACACTGCAAAGTGGTGAAATTACTGATTATCACAAAATGAGACTATTCCCTAGTTCGTTAACAGGAGTAGCTTTTTCCGAGTTTATTAATTGGAAAATGCTATTTGTACTCACACATTTTTACAAAATGGTGTACTCACTCTCACAAAAAATGAGGCCCCCACGTGAATTCAAAAATGGTGGCTGTGTGGTCCCCGCTCCTCTTTTGTGTAGTGAGTAAGTGAGTTTGTAAACCATGTAATACTTTTAGCATGGTCCTTATTAATTTGCCAACAAATTCTGTTCAAACATGACAACAACTAGAATAATTGTTTCATGCTCAATTTTACAAAACTGAATTTGAAGTTACTTTGGCAGACTTGGCGAATTTACGTCAAATGTCAATTGAATGGGCGGAGAGTTTCCTTCAGAGGTTTAAAACAGCCAGGAGCAAATGTTTTGTACCTCTGCCCGAAAAGAATTCGTCGAAATAGCTCAAAATTGTTTGAGTTTTTACTTAAAAAAGAAATTTCAGGACAGGGAATTCCCTGACCTTTTTGAATTAAGTGCTAACGTGATTAGGTATGAACGAATAATAGGAGAAAAAGAACAAATGAAAAATTCTAGTAAGGCGACTTATTATAGAAACCCAAATTTCGATGATCATACTGTTAGTAACGAATATTATGATCAAACAGAAGTATGTTTGGCCGAATCGATTAAGGGAGATGCATATGCTTGTCCCATAATGGCCAAATCCAGGACGTCAGATAAGAATGAGCCTTTAAAAGACGAGAACAAAAAGTCTAGGGTATTCTCATTTGATGTGACCAAAGCTGACCTTATATTCGACAAATTGTATAAGGATAAGCAGATAAAATTGAGTGATAAACATAAATTGTCTAACCCTGAACAAATTAATGGTGAAAAATATTGTAAATAGCACAATGCATGGTAACATATGACTAATAATTGCTTGGTCTTTCGTCATGTGTTACATGATGCCATCGAGTTAGGACGAATCACGTTCGAAGCTAAGAAGA